GTTGGAAGACAGTGTTTGCTATGACCAATGCGTTCTCTTGGCAGAACTCTATTAGCCTCTGCCCTGCTTCATTCTGTACTCCAAGGCCAAATTTGCCTGTTACTCCAGGTGTTTCCAGACTTCCTACTTTTGCATTCCAGTCCCCAATAATGAAAAGGACATCTTTTTTGGGTGTTAGTTCTAAGAGGTCTTGTAGGTCTTCACAGAACCGTTCAACTTCAGCTTCTTCAGCATTACTAGTTACTATTGATATCTTAGAATGTATATTATGGGAGTGGGTCTGGTAGGTTCCTTCTATTATTAAATTCTAATCCTATTATCCTAAAATGTAACTTGTGGGAGTGGGTCTGGTAAAATTTTACAACCTTGAGACATTATTTTGATTTATTGTAATAATTAATTAAAAAGTATATAATTCCCTTGCTAAAGACTAGTGAGGGGGGCACTCTCCGACCCCTTCTGATGTTTATGTCAGAAGGTTTCTCTGTCCCTTTTTCACACTTTAATAAAACTCTGCAACAGAAAAGCTCTTGAGTGATCAAGCCCAAAGCTAAATCTTCTTCGGAGATCAAGAATCTGACACCGTTCACCGTAAGCTATCACTGATAAATGTTTAATTGGCTTTGGAGGCTTTGGAACTCTTGATATGTAGTATTTGTCAACTTTCATGCTGTAAATACTACCACTATGGCCAATTTGAAATTACCAATATGAGGCACCTGACCATAAAGTTGGGCGAAGAGGTACCTAATTGGCTTTCCCTGATTATATGAGCCAATATAAGTAAGTAGGAGCCAGCTCTGGAATACCACAGGTTCTAGCCAACAGCCTGTGAACTATGGTGGCTTCTGGTTCACACACTTTAGGGGAAAAAAAAGGAGGAGAGTCTCCCTTTATCCTTTACTTCTTCCTTCTGGCTGTAGTACACATGTAGTATTGAGTCAGCCTGGAGCAGGTGGCAAGGGAAAATACTAGGAATGGCAAAGCAAGTATGAAAAGGAACTTGAGTCCCTAATGCCATACAGCTGCTCTGCCAACCCTAGGCTACTTCTGCCTGTGCTGTTACATGAGAGAGAAATAAACTTCGAGCTTGTCAAGCCACTGTTATTTTAGGCTTGTTAGTACAATCGAACCTATATCCTATTAATGCAATCGCTTTGACAGCCACGAAGAAGAAAAGACGAATGAATGAAATGAAGATAGGGAAAGTACTTTTAGATTAGGAAACTGTAATAAAATCATAGGCGAAACACTAGGGTTTGGACTTAGCTGATTACAACACAGTAAGAGAGGAAAAGTATCTCAAAAGAAAGGAGGAAATATACAATAAAATTTGCATTTAATTTAAAAAAAAAAAAAGAGAAGAGCCAGAAATAAGCTAAAGAGTAGAAGCCATGGGAGAAATGTTTTACAAAAACGGCTTACTAGACCCTAAGGCATGACGCAAATGGGATACCGAAACAAGTAAAACTGCCCCTGGGATTTACAGTAGGAGAGGCAGAGAGATATAAATTGAGGGGCAGTTAAGCACCGATACACCTATTATGAACAAACAGGAGTAGACAAACACAGTAGTAGTCAATTGTGTTCATGGCAGTCATAAGGGGTGAGGGCAGGAGGAGACCAGAAGGGACTTCATAAAGAAAACTACATGACAAACAAGTGTCTTCAGAGATAAGTAGATACTCTGTCTTTAAGGAAAAGTTTATTTCTCTTTAATAAGGCAAATGGGAACAGTATAAGCAAAAAACAAAGGCATCAAAAGGATCAATCAAACCTATATGCTAAGAAAACTCCCAAGTAGTTCTATATAACTGGTTTCTTTAGAAAAGAAAAAAAAAAAGGTAAGAAATTAGTCACTGGAGTAAAAATGAAGAACAAAAACAAAGTCAGAAGGCAGCTCAAAATTGAAGGCAGCTTTGACTTTTTTGTTCATGACATGACACCTTGAACATTTTCTAAACTCAGAAAATGACACTGATAGATACATGGGAGGTGGGATTTAGAAGAAAAAGCCATGATGGAAAGAGGATATTCTAAGTACACCCAAATAATGAGATGGGTTTCTTAGCAAGTTCCTAGATCCTGTTCCGTTGAACCTAAGGTTTTGAAGGAATAAAAGAGAGGATGTGTGGATAAGCCTTCATGGACTGCAGGCCAAATCTGGATAGCCACCTGTTTTTACATGGCCCTCAAGCTAAGAACATGCTTTACATTTTAAAATAATTCCAAAACAACTCCCAAAGATATTTCATAACACATCAAATTTTAGTGTCTATAAGGAGAGTTTCATTGTAACATGGCCATGTTCATTTTTTACATACTATCTATGGCTCCTATCAAACCACTGTGTCAGAACTATGTAGCTGGGAATGGGACCGTAAACTCTCAGAGTCTAAAATATTAGTATTTACTATCTGTGATTTCCCTGGTGGTCCAGTGGTTAAGACTCTATGGATTCAATCCCTGATTAGGAAACTAAGATCCAACATGCCATGCAGTATGGCCAAAAAAATAAATTAAAAAAAAAAAAATATTTACTATCTGGCTCTTTACAGAAGAAATCTGCACAACCCTGATTTCAATTCAGTTCAGTTCAATCACTAAGTCGTGTCCGACTCTTTGCAACCCCACGAACCACGGCACGCCTATCCATCACCAACTCCTGGAGCCTACTCAAACTCTTGTCCATTGAGTAGGTAATGCCATCCAACCATCTCATCTTCTGTTGTCCCCTTCTCCTCCTGCCCTCAATCCTTCCCAGCATCAGGGTCTTTTCTAATGAGTCAGTTCTTCATATCAGGTGGCCAAAGTATTGGAGTTTCAGCTTCAACATCACTCCTTCCAATGAACACCCAGGACTCATCTCATTTAGGATGGACTGGTTGGATCTCCTTGCAGTGCAAGGGACTCTCCAGAGTCTTCTCCAACACCACAGTTCAAAAGCATCAATTCTTCAGTGCTCAGCTTTCTTTATAGTCCAACTCTCACATCCATACATGACTACTGGAAAAACCATAGCCTTGACTGGACAGACTTTTGTTGACAAAGTAATGGCTCTGCTTTTTAATATGCTGTCTAGGTTGGTCATAACTTCCAAGGAGTAAGTGTCTTTTAATTTCATGGCTGCAGTCACCATCTGCAGTGATTTTGGAGTCAAAAAAAATAAAGCTTGTCACTGCTTCCACTGTTTCCCTATCTATTTGCCATGAAGTGATGGGACCAGATGCCATGATCTTAGTTTTCTGAATGTTGAGCTTTAAGCCGACTTTTTCACTCTCCTCTTTCACTTTCATCCAGAGGCTCTTAAGTTCTTCTTCACTTTCTGCCATAAGGGTGGTGTCATCTGCATATCTGAGGTTATTGATATGTCTCCCAGCAATCTTGATTCCAGCTTATGCTTCTTCCAGCCCAGCGTTTCTCATGATGTACTCTGCATAAAAATTAAATAAGCAGGGTGACAATATACAGCCTTGACATACTCCTTTTCCTATTGGGAACCAGTCTGTTGTTCCATGTCCAGTTCTAACTGTTGCTTCCTGACCTGCATACAAGTTTCTAAACAGGCAGGTCAGGTGGTCTGGTATTCCCATCTCTTTCAGAATTTTCCACAGTTTACTGTGATCCACACAGTCAAAGGCTTTGGCATAGCCACTGAATCAGAAATAGATGTTTTTCTGGAACTCTCTTGCTTTTTCAATGATCCAGCAGTTGTTGGCAATTTGATCTCTGGTTCCTCTGCCTTTTCTAAAACCAGCTTGAACATCTGTAAGTTCATGGTTCACGTATTGCTAAAGCCTGGCTTGGAGAATTTTGAGCATTACTTTACTAGCATGTGAGATGAGTGCAATTGTGCGGTAGTCTGAGCATTCTTTGGTATTGCCTTTCTTTGGGATTGGAATGAAAACTGACCTTTTCCAGTCCTGTGGCCACTGCTGAGTTTTCCAAATTTGCTGACATATTGAGTGCCCCTGATTTAGACAGAGACAGTTCTTCGAGGATATAACCTCAGTGACAGCATGAGGGGGTACAAAAAGCCTTAGAAGACTGCTTCAAACAATAATATATAGTTTGTTGGACTTCCCTGGTGGTCCAGTGTTCAAGATCCTGTACTTTCAATGTAGGGAGGACAGGTTCAATCCCTGGTTGGGGAACTAAAATCCCACATGTCACAAAATACGCACCAAAAAAAAAGAAATTAACATACAGTTTGTATCTAACATTATAAAACAGAATTGGGGGTGACAAAACATTTTTCTCCAACAAGTTTTGCAAGGTGTCAATTTTCTTTCATAAACTTCTCCAAGTAAAAGTTCCCTATTTGTCATGTATGATATCTTGTTGCAACATTTATTTTCAGGAACAAATATACGTTAGGTTTTTTCCCAATTCATACCTTTAAGATGCATGGCTCATGCTACATCTTCTGGGTACACAACAAACTCACTAGTACAGCAACTTCTATATTATAGTTACAAAGCATTAAATTAACACTAAATAAATACATCCAATGAGATGTAACATAAAGGACATAAAACCCTTCAATGTATCTTTAACATAATTGTAAAAATTATACATCATATTGGAAAAAAAAGATCAAGAGATACAAAGAGAGCTATCCTGGCTATCCGTATTCTACCTCTCTTTCACTGAGTTGTAGCTCTTTAACTAAATTCTGGCCAAAAGAATGTAGACGATGTGCATCCTTAATAGCAGGGGCATGTCCTTTTTACACTTTTTCATTCCGACTAGCTAGAAGACAGCTATGATTCCTCCTAGCTGACCAAAGACCTCAAGGAGCCTCCATATCTTTGCATTCATTCAAATCTGAAACAGAACAGGCTGGTACTATTAAGCCAGAGTCTATTCATCATATTAGACACAAGTACACTAAGAATATAAAATAATAGAGTACACAATATCTCTACCCAATGAATAGGTAATAAAACAATTTAAATAAATAAATCAGAATAATGTAATAATAATTTTTTTCAGCTTACCTCCTTGGATTCCCTTCGCTGTCGCCGTTTTACCAGCATTATCAAGTCCCAACATCACAAGAGTCACCTTTCTTAAAATAATAAAAATTTTAAAAAATCACTGAGTGAATTAAATATTGGGGGGGGGGGGGAATAAAGGCAAATACATTCATCCAAGCAATACTTAAGAGCAACTACTATGTACAAGTCAATATGCTGAATGCTAAGGGGTACAATGATGAACAAAATATATATTCAAAAAGCAAAATTCTTGAAAAATACCTGTGAAGTGCCATCCTTTTGTTCTCTAAGCACAAAAAAACAGAAACTGTACAGTAGATAACCTGAAGGATAGAGAAGAAATAAAGGGAAGAAGAGAGAAAGGGGGAGAGAGAGATGGATTCTAGAACATGAGTTATTTATCACATCTAAAGACTCAATTTTCTAGTTAACTGAATTCTAATGATTAGCAAAAGTTTGTTTTTTCCAGTGAAATTATATAAGAAAAGAATTAGTTTAGGTTCTATACACTACTAGTACACTCAGTTGTTTTTATATATGTAGCACCTTACCAAATACAAATCTTATAGTACAGTAACATGATTATTAACCTAACAGCTAATGTATTTTAAAAGAGGGTTCCTCAATTAGAAAACTTAAAATGCTTCTGTGATATAGCTAAACTTCACAGAGTAAGGGAAAAAACACAATCCAGTTCAATTTTACAACTGAAGAAACATCAGCCTAGAGTCATAAGCTAAGACAATGAATTGGTTACAGTCAGAACCAGAACCTAATTCACCTAACTTTTAGGAACTTCTTAAACCTGGGACAGGTTATAAAGGAACAAACCTACCACACAGTTCCTAGTATCCTGGGGACTCAGTCCAGCACTAAAGCCCATTTCTGTTCCAGGCTTAACGACTGCTTAGTATAGCAAGTGGTGAGACCACTTATTAACACCACACACTTGGGAATAGAGGGAGAAAAGTCACAGTAAAACTGGGCCACATTCCCATGGAGTGGAGTCAGGGTTTCTGCCAAGTATAGTCATTCTTCACTGGCAGTCATTCCAAGAAGGGTTAAAAAAACAGAACTTAGATGGCAAGAAGGGTGCTTTCCATCTGCCTAAGCCTGGCTTTCTTGGAGCTGGACTTTATTAAACAAATAATTACTAAACATTTTCTGTATACCATACACCAATGTTTTAGGTACTGAGACACCTGCTTATTAAAATAACCACAGCAACAATGAAAAACAAAAAATGATAAACTCTCCCCTTACTAAACTTATACTTTAGTTGCAGGAGATAAACAATAAATATAAGAAGTAAATTACAGGTTATACCCTATATTAGAGGTGATTAAGTACTACAGAAAAAATAGAGAGGGATAAAGGGGAGCAGGAGCGGGGGTGGAGGTGGAAAGAAGCTGAAACAGGGTGATCAGGGCAGGACGCACTGAGAAAGGAGGTAAGGTCTGAGCAAGGTCTTGAAGGAAGGAAAGAGAGCACAGTTGGGGCCAGCACGAAGGCAGTGGGCATGGTGCGTGTGTCGGGAGGTGTTGACACAGCAATGTTCCAGAATCAGCAAGGAAGCCAGTGTGGTAAAACCCAGTCAGGGCAGCGCAGGGAACAAAGACAGGAGGTGAGAAACACATCAGAAGCCAGATGTGTGGGCCTTGCAGGCCATGGTGAGGACTGTGGTTTTTGTGAGTGAAATTAACTCTTCATGTCAATTTCCTTAGTTATCCAGGAGCCTCAGTCCTTTCTAAATGCTTCAACCGTCCCTATATCCACCATGAGGAATACACAAAAGTAAGTCTACACTTGAGTCAGTGGTCAGTCAGTTAGCAGCCTTCTCATACCCCATTCCCAGTCAGCCAGAGATGGGGTCGGTGGAAATGCCAGAATATGAATTTACAGAGCTGAGGAATATGTGAGGTCTAGGTACTTCTATCCACGTGAAAGTTTTACCTGCATCACTAACTGAAGAATATTTTCACTTCTTAAAGAAGCTTTGAGATATGAAGAGTATAATTTTACTACTTTGTCTGAAGAATTCATAACTTCCAAATATCAAAGTATAAGATTAAAGTACAAAATAATTTCCTAAACAAAATATAATAAATGACTATCCAAAAATATGGATGATATAGCACAAATAATATTTTGGATAATTCAAGTTTCTAAATATATAATGAATTAGACCATAATATTAACATTAATTCAATTGCTCTTGAATAATTTATTCCAAGATCTACGGTGCTTCAAACATCACCATAACGAAAACAATTACTTTTGGGGACAAATCCCCATTTTCTGTTGGTTTTCTTTATTCTGTACACCTTTAATCCAGTTTTCTGCTGACAGGTGGGGCCGTGGTAGTTAGGCCTCAGGCCACACTATGGTAGGGGTAATGGCTCCCTCCTTCATAAGGACTTAGGCCAGCACACCACAGCTCCCGAGACTGTTGCAGTCAGTGCCCCTGACCCTGCGGCAGGCCACTGTCGACCCACGCCTCTGCCAGAGACTCCTGCACACTCACAGGCGGGTCTGGCTCAGTCTCTTGTGTGGTCACTACTCCTTTCTCCTGGGTTCTGGTGCACACAAGGTTTTGTTTGTGCCATCCAAGCGTCTGTTTCCCCAATCCTGTGCAAGTTCTGTAATCAAATCACACTGGTCTTCAAAGTCAAATTCCCCAGGGGTTCTCAGTCTTTTTGCCAGATCCCTAAGTTGGGAAATCTGTTGTGGGCCCTAGAACTTTTACAACAGTGTGAGAACCTCTTTGGTATAACTGTTTTCCAGTTTGTGGGTCGTCTGCTCGGTGACTAAATGGAGCTAATGGCAACCTCCTCCAACAGGACTTATGCCACACCAGGCTTCAACAGTATGTGAACTAAGAACTTCCAGATGGTCAAGCTGGATTTAGAAGAGGCAGAGGAACCAGAGGTTAAATGGCCACCATCTGATGGATCACGGGAAAAGCAAGAGAATTTCAGAAAAACATCTACTTCCGCTTCACTGACTACACTAAAGCCTTTGTGGGTCACAACAAACTGGAAAATTCTTAAAAGAGATCGGAAAACCAGACCACCTGACCTGCCTCTTGAGAAATCTGTATGCAGGTCAAGAAGCAACAGCTAGAACTGGACATAGAAAAACAGACTGGTTCCAAATCCGGAAAGCAGTACATCAAGGCCGTACATTGTCATCCTGCTTATTTAATTTATATGCAAATACGTCATGTGAAATGCCAGGATGGATGAAGCACAAGCTGGAATCAAGATTGTTGGGAGAAATATCAATAACCTCAGATATGCAGATGACACCACCCTTAAGGCAGAAAGTGAAGAAGAACTAAAGAGCCTCTTGATGAAAGTGAAAGAGGAGAGTGAAAAAGTCAGCTTAAAACTCAACATTCAGAAAGCTAAGATCATGACATCTGGTCCTATCACTTCATGGCAAATAGATGGGGAAACAGTGGAAAGAGTGTCAGACTTTATTTTGGGGGGCTCCAAAATCACTGCAGATGGTGACTGCAGCCATGAAATTAAAAGATGCTTGCTCCTTGGAAGAAAAGCTATGACCAACCTAGACAGCATACTAAAAAGCAGAGACATTACTTTGCCAATAAACGTCTATGGGGTCAAAGTTACGTTTTTTTCCAGTAGTCATGTATGAATGTGAGAGTTGGACTATAAAGAAAGCTGAGTGCCAAAGAACTGATGTTTTTGAACTGTGGTGTTGGAGAAAACTCTTGAGAATCCCTTGGACTGCAAGGAGATCCAGCCAGTCAACCCTAAAGGAAATTAGTCCTGAATATTCAATGGAAGGACTGATGTTGAAGCTGAAGATCCAATACTTTGGGCACCTGATGGGAAGAAATGACTCATCTGAAAAGACCCTGATGCTGGGAAAGATTAAAGGCAGGAGAAGGGGACGACAGAGGATGAGATGGTTAGATGGCATCACCAACTTGATGGACATAAGTTTGAGCAAGCTTCGGGAGTTGGTGATGGAGAGGGAAGCCTAGCGTGCTGCAGTCCGAGGGGGTCGCAAGCAGTGGACACCACTGAGCTACTAAACTGAACTGAACTAATACATTTTGAAACGTTGTTCTTAAAGCAGTTACCAAGGAAAGTTGTTAGATTTTATCTTAAAGGCTTTCTTTTTTAAAACAGAATATTAGAGTCAAACAAAAAACGTTATCCAAACATAAAAATCACTTTGAAAAATTATAATCATGCTGAAACTGCACGAAATAAGTCTTTCTGGATTTATATTTTTATGTTGACTATCCCTGCGAGTACATAGTCAATATTTAAGATCATTATGCCATATACTTGAAAACATGGCTTTAATTAAATATCTGAGGTGATTAAAGCCTTAATGAAAAAATATAACACTAGCAGGACAAATGAAAATCACAGCATGAATTACTGCCATGCCTGATAACAATGAATTAAACTTATATTTTCAGAACAGAATGGGTTTAAAAAGCTAACAATCAACTATCACTCAAAATTCTATGGAACTCTTAAACACTGAATATGTTCAATCTAACATATACCAAATGTATATGTCATTACAGCTTTTTAAAATATGGAAAATTATCATTGATTGGGAACAATTTGGCTGTGATGCTACATCACAACAGAGAGATAAAAGACTATGTCTTCTGATTATTGATTGAATACATTAGCTCTTCAATTGAAAAAATAATATACAGTGTTCTTAGATTTATAATGTCTTGAAAGTGGACAGCAGCAATAAAAGTAAACATTTTGTCACTTAGCTCGACAGTCGTAATCAATAAAAGTGGACTAGGCATTTGAGCACTAGAGACACAAAAGAGCCTGAGCAAATGCCTGAGACATGGTTTCTATCCCAGAGTGCGTCTCTTCTAATGACAGTCACTAAAATGTGAACAAATGTCTGTACATTGTGACACTATGAAAGTTTAAAATCCTTATCCATATACACAAGATGCTCAGGGAATACAGAGCAGAAGACTTCATTCAGCCTAGAGATACAGGAGAAGGTCTGGGAAGCTTCTTACACAAGCGATGATGCCTCAGCTAAGTTCTTAAAT